TGCATCAGTCGGTTATGCAGATAACGTCCTCAATGTTATTTTTTTCATCTCTTCTATCAGGAATGTTGGTTGACCTTTAGGAAATAATACTGGGAAACATTTGGCACTCATTGCTTTCATCTTGTAGAATTGATACAGGGCTTCTTCCTTCACAAGGAGCAAAACATATTATGTCTTCAAAATACTGATCTAATATTTCCTGTCCAATATCTACTGGCTGGAGACACGAGTCTAACTGAATACCGCATAATCGTTCTTCCATATCGTCTTCAGTGTCATTGTCATCTATTTTGTTTACTTTACTGTTGTCTTGCATGTTTTCATTAGCATTTTTGTCTTTGGACAAAATAATAAATCAATTTGTTCTTCCATTTCCTTCCAATATTTGCTAAACGAGCTTTACCACCTATTTCCACTGCTTCTTCCTTTTCATTATTTTTTCATTTCGTTCAAGTGAGTTTTCCCATTTATCATTTACTGTAACATCAAAATACCACTTGTTACTTGCTTTTAAATACTGCAGAGCTTAAGCAAGTTAGATTTATCTACAAATTTGTACTCATAATAGCTTTGTACGACAATTTTCTTTTGAGTTTAACACGGATCAATTGATCTTCAGTCTGTGGTCTTGGCAACATATGTACTGTTTCATAGGTGTTTGAAGGCACGCACACGACTGGGCCATGGACTCCATTTTGACCACCTTTAGGCAAGGCCATCAACTTCATGAAAGGGATATTCAATGCAATCAAATGCTGTTCTAAATTGTTCAGATTGGCAAGTTCTTCTGGAACTTCATGTAGTTGTAAATTGTTCATATTTGCTTCTGCAGGTACTTTCCCAGCTTGCAATTTTCTATGACAGGTGAAGCATATCCATAGTGACGATCTGGCTGACTGGCCTATTAAACATTTTGACCGGCATTCTGAATTGCAAACATGCAAATATTCTTCACTTATGCATGTCTGAATTTTATAATTACTCTTTTTACATTTCATTACTTGGTTCTCAAAGAGAAGTTTTAAACATACACAGCACACATATTCTGGGCCATGAGAAATTATCTTTCTAAATTCTTCATGTACAATATCAAACTCGGACAATTTTACTGTTCGAAGTACAGACCTTTTTCGGTTTTGTTTTATTACATTTTGCCTATATTTTTCAATTCTTTTATATTTCATTTTTAAGCTCATCAAATTTCTTTTCCTTAAATTCTTTGCCTTTATATCTAATTATGGACAATATTTTCATATTTGCCTTTTTTATCTGCTTAAAATTTTCATTGTTCCGATATTTACTTCTAATTCTATTCTTGTGCATTCCTTTGAATTGTTCATCGTTCTGATATAATTCCTTCATTCGTTTTTTCATGGTATCTCGTTGTTTTTCCTTGAATTGTTGATCGTTCGAATATTTACTTCTTATTTTGCTTCTGTGAATTCGTTTGAATTGTTCATCGTGCTGGTATTTACTTCTTATTTTGCTTTTGTGAATTCGTTTGAATTGTTCATCGTGCTGGTATTTACTTCTTATTTTGCTTCTGTGAATTCGTTTGAATTGTTCATCGTGCTGGTATTTACTTCTTATTTTGCTTTTGTGAATTCGTTTGAATTGTTCATCGTGCTGGTATTTACTTCTTATTTTGCTTTTGTGAATTCGTTTGAATTGTTCATCGTGCTGGTATTTACTTCTTATTTTGCTTTTGTGAATTCGTTTGAATTGTTGATCATTGCGATATGATTGCTTCATTCGTTTTTTCATGGTATCTCGTTGTTTTTCCTTGAAATGTTCATCGTTCGAATATTTATTTTTCATTTTTGTCCTCATAGCTGTTTTAACATTTTCTTTGAATCTTCATTTATCAAATATTTCTGTTTATTTCTATACACAATTTTCTTTTTATAATGTAAATCAGAATGATTTGGTTCTCATAATATTTAGCTGTTTGTTCCTGAAATTTGAATCCTCTTTATACATTTCTTTTTGCCTTTGTTTGACATAAGCTCCTTGCTTTATTTTGTGTGATAAATCAGCGTTGTAATTCTCTTTTTGTCTTTGTTTTACTTCATTTATTTTTTCCATTTTGTAGGTTAAATCATTTTGAAATTTATTCTTTGATTTAATTTTCCTCATTTGCGCATTGTGGAGACATTTTTCCTTTTTCTTAATGATTTCATCTTTGGTCAAGGCTCGTTTTTCTCTCATATGCTGTCTATTGCGCTTCCTTTTTTGATTAGAACTTTGTCTGGTTTTACTCTTTTTTTTTTCCATGGTCTACATTTCTAACATGAACTTCTCCAATTATTATTAAGTCGTCTTTACTATCAGCACAATCGCTTGCGTCAATTCTTAAGCTGTCGTTCTCATTCATTTTCACCAATTTGGTTTTTCGAATGTCCTTGCCAAGGTCAACATTAACTTTCGCATCGCTTTCGAAGTTACTCCATTTTCGTTTCCTGCTTAAGATAAAGTTGGAATTCTGAACTTCGTTCACTAAATTCAATTTATCAGAGTCATTTCCACATTTAGTACAGTTGTTGGAGTCTCCCTTTTGTTTATTTTCATATTCTGTTTTTATAGAGTCATTTCCTTTCAAAAGACAACTATTATTTAGCTGTGATTCTTTTAATTTGGTTAAGCCAATTGTCACACTCTTCAGTTTTAATTGCTGACCGTTATAATGTAAATCATGAATGATTGTTTCATTTGCTTTTTCAGGAAAGAGAAATAGATTGGGCTATCAATCATTTTTTGTGGGAAAACACTCTCATCCAATTCAAGTTCCAATTGAACTTCATCAAAGCTTTCACAATGTATGGAACATCCAGAGCTTTCAAACTGACTTTCACTGTGACTATTTGACGATGGAATCTGACTACAAAAAACATCCTGTAACTGTGGATAGCCTTTCAAGGTTTCATTCTTACCGGAAGTTGCTTTTGCACATACACTAGTTACCTCATATTCAGTGTGCATGGGACATCCCCTTGTTTTTGCTAACCTCATGCAATGCTTGTACACACCTTGCCAACTTGGAGTACTAAGTACAACACTGTGTCCGTTATCAATCTGAAAACCTCGACTGCTTCTGGAATGTGAATCAAATACAAAGAAACCATCTTGACCAGATAATACAATCAAAGTACTTCCAGCAAATGTCACAAAACATGCATCAGAATCAGTACAGAGTTCTTGTTCGATTGCTTGCTTCAATGTCATCGAAAGAGACTGGGCCAATATCATTTCATCTCCATCTAACAATCCAGTGACTGGTTCACGACATTTTATGTTAAACAATTCATTGTACGCATCCAAATATTCAATAGATCAGATATCAATAAGTATTCGTTTTCGAGTGAAGTGGATCGTCGTATGTAACGATATAATTCATCACCGTTGTTCAAAATCCTGTCTAGATCTGTACTTTTCCAATCATTGGCATTTTTTACTTTGCTATACAACAGTGCAGATAGTGAATTGGGAACACACTGCTTTCCACTTGAGTAACCAAATCTTGTATGACCTTGATTGAATGTCCCTTGGGCAACAAGCGTTATGTGTGTATTGACTCTTGCGCATTTGTCTTTGTGATTACTTTCAGGGGTTTCATCCTTGGTGTTACGTTGTTGTGAACGACTGATTCAGACTGATTACTTGCACACTGTTCATATGTCATGTCAAAAAGATTTGCAGTACCTTTCCTCTCATCGTGATTTATCGGAGACTTATCCACCACTTCATCAATTTCAACAGATTCAACAGCATTAAAATGAATATTTCCTGTGTATAGTATATAAATTCCTTATCAGAGGTTACAATATTTATTCTTCCAGGTTCTTTTGCAGAGAACAATTGCCAACATGGTACTTGGTCATTGTATGAATAAATATCGGTATCGATTAAATTGCTAAAGCACTAATTTCAGTATCTGTAGCCCACGTTCCGTCTTCCATTATTCTACGTTTCGAAACATATTTCTCTGACTGTTCTATACTCTTGCCTCAATGTATTATTAAACATGTCCTTAGTTTGCAATAAATGTTTTTACCGTGGCATTTCTTAGAATTGCATGATTATGCTCAGTTCCAGAAATTGCATATGAAATTGCACGAAAGAAACAATTGCCGTCACCAATAATTTGTTTACTATGTAAAGGAATTCCGATAAAGCTATCTCTATCTAACCTTGAATCACAGCTTGTACCTATATATCTGATATTCAATTTTGTACAAATGTTCTGTTTGTCATTCTTCGAGAGGGGTAAGAATTTGAAATATTTATCCGGTCTATCACCTAATCCAAGATTTGCTACAAATTCAACTTCTGTTTCTGTTTCATCAGTACATGTGTACATATTAGCATCTATTGCCTTTTCAATGTCTTCATCTTTGATGTTTGAATCTAAAGAAGATTCTAAAGGATTTCTTGAATGAGCATGATCATTTAGTGACATATCAGTATCATTGTCTGTATCATGTTTACCTGTATCAAAGCTTTTATTCTTTAATTCATTATCAACATTGCATCTTCCTCTAGACCATCTGAAACATCTGTCAAATCAATTGTCATCATATCATCATTTTTCAATACTGATTCACAGACATTGTCTACTTTTCATTTCTGGGCATATCTTTGGTTGATCAGAAACATTCAAAGACATATTGCGTTCTGGTGAAACGCTTTTATCGAATATATCATATCCAGGACTTGTGTCTGTATCAGATTCTATACAAGTTCTTGCACACGAACGTTTCACTGGTATATGAATATCACTGCCACTATCATTATCTCTATTTCAATTTTCCTATTTTCATCAAAATTCAGTTTCAACAGATTATTCTTTGAATCAGCCTGCACAACTCCATCTGAACCTTTATCGTCTTTGATATTGTAAATATGCTGGTCTGAGTTTTCATCATTTTCACCTGCATTCATAAATTTCTTTGTATCCAGCTTCTCATTATTTACTGCTAATTCTATTCCTTCATCTTTGTCAAATCTAATCTCTGATTTATCAGAAGAGTTATTTCCATCATGAACTTTTTTTGCTTTGGTGAACTGACCTTTCTTGTTCCTTGCTTTACCCTTTTTTTGGTTTTTGCCACCAGCATGAACTCTGTAGGATTTGAGATCAACATCTATTTCATCAGTGGGTTTGGTAGGTTTTGCTTGCACTTTCCTGTATGATTTGAGATCAACATCTATTTCATCAGTGGATTTGGTAGGTTCTGCTTGCACTTTCCTGTAGGATTTGAGATCAACAGCTATTTCATCAGTGGGTTTGGTAGGTTTTGCTTGCACTTTCCTGTATGATTTGAGATCAACATCTATTTCATCAGGGGTTTGGTAGGTTTTGCTTGCACTTTCCAATTGAGTGTTACATGTACTTTATCTTGGCTTGATTCAGGTTTAGATACGGAACGATCTTCAGTTTGGATTACCATCAGACTTTCATCTACCTTATCCTGTGAAATTGTATCTGTTGGGATTGTGTGTTTCAATGCATCAGTACTTGATCTGTGTGCAACTGTCACCTGTGTCAGCTTGTATGTCTCCTCACACGAGAGCTTCATAGAGTTCAACAATTGTATGCAATAAGTGTATATTCCGAGCCAAGTTTTAGTATGCATGAGAATGTTTTTCCTTGCTTACTTTGACACCCTTTTCTACTTCTGGAATGTGCATCAAAGATGTAGTAACCTGTTTCATGTGACATTATGAGAAAAGTCTGCTTACCAAAGTTCATAAGACAACCATCACAATTCTTGAGTGATTCTTCAAGGGTGTTGATCAGTGAGTCTGGATGTGCGTACTTGGTAAGAGGTCCTGTCTTTGGTTCGCCAAGAGATGTGCCATCACCTTTCTTACAAATACTCGCAGATACGTCATCAGGGCTAGTAGAAAAACATATCAATTGAACATGTTACAAGAGCATCAAGATCTGAAGAAGACCATTCACTAGGAGATTTCTGTTTACTGTACAACATAGCCATCTCATTCGACTTCAAACAATGTTCGTCATTACCATCTTCACACACTTTTGTCTCTTCATGAGAAACCGTTCCTGTACGTGTTACCTTCAAATCATTTTCACTGATCTCCGGCACTCTATTTGTTTCTTTGTGCTTGATACACTTGTTTTTGATTTTTCGTTGTCTTGTGTCATTTTTGATTGGTTTTCAGTACTTGGAACTTTGATTTTTGAGTTTGATTTGCGGTACAGATGCTTCATTGCTTTTCCTATGTATGTCACTCCCTTTTCTCTTTTGTTCACATGTGAACACTCATCCTTATGTCTGTATTGTTATCTACAGAAATCATTCCTTTTCTTTTCTCCAAGAGTTTTGCCTTTCGCGATCTTATCAAGTCCCATCTTAAACCAGATTCCTTTTCTTGCCAACTGTATTTTTTACATTTTCTGACTGGTCACATGTAGACGCATTCCTACAGTCATCAACGTACCTTTCATTTCTCCCCTTTTTTGCATTTGTTTCTTTGGGGATCTAGATCGCTTATGTCCTTTGTTCACATACCTTTTCATCTTTGTAAAGCGGCCTCTTTCAATCTTTCTCGATGTAGAGCATTCATCAGGTGTGCCGTCAGGCTCTTCCATGACCTCCTGATTCGGACTGATGCATTCATATTGGTTGACATCAATAGGGATACCTAGATGGTCAAACATACGTACAGAAATATTGTTATTTCCGCATAGGCAAATCCATACAAGTGTAATGTCACTAAATTTATCTTCACGAGAGATATTCATACATGCCACATGGTAAGAGTTGGGACAACTTTCACACTTCACTTCATTCTCCTTGCCATCAAGATCTTTTCCACATATATAACACTCTAAAGTCTCTTCAACATGGGGTTCTGCATTTCTATCACCGACCTTCATTTCGTCTTTCAACATATGGCCTTTGTTTATAATTGTTAAAATGTGAAATTGTTAGCTATCTTGGATATCTCAAGACTGTGCTACTTTTTCAATACAAACTACGATATTGTGAGACAGTGTTCAAAGAGGTTTGTTAATATATTCAGCAGATACCAATCAGTGCAATAAAGCTCGCTTACATTTGTATACCTCTGTACACTCAATATCCAGACACAAATTTCTTTCTTTCTCTCTCTGCAATCAAGCTCACTTATATTTTATAAATCTGTACACTTTATATCCAGACGCAGATTTCTTTCTTTCTCTTTCTGCAATAAAGCTCACTTATATTTGTATAAATCTGTACACTTTATACTCGGACACAAATTTCTTTCTTATTCTCTCTGCAATCAAGCTGACTTATATTTTTATAAATCTGTACACTTTATATCCAGACACAGATTTCTTTCTTACTCTCTCTGCAATCAAGCTCACTTATATTTTTATAAATCTGTACACTTTATATCCAGACACAGATTTCTTTCTTACTCTCTCTGCAATCAAGCTCACTTATATTTTTATAAATCTGTACACTTTATATCCAGACACAGATTTCTTTCTTATTCTCTCTGCAATCAAGCTCACTTATATTTTTATAAATCTGTACACTTTATATCCAGACACAGATTTCTTTCTTACTCTCTCTGCAATCAAGCTCACTTATATTTTTATAAATCTGTACACTTTATATCCAGACACAGATTTCTTTCTTACTCTCTCTGCAATCAAGCTCACTTATATTTTTATAAATCTGTATACTTTATATCCAGACACAGATTTCTTTCTTCCTCTCTTTGCAATCAATCACGCTCACTTTTCTACAACTCTATATATCCTGACACAAATGTTCTTCTTACATGTACTCTTTGCAATCAATCAAGCTCACTTATATTTCTAGAACTCTCTATATCCTGTCACAAATTTCCTTATTCTCTTTCCAACAATCACTCACAATCACATCTATTCATAGAATTATTAAACTTGTTTCTCTTTTCAATGATATAGCTCACTTTCTTTGCATTCAATCAAGCTCACTCTGTACTTCTTCTCTCAATCAAAGTCACTTTCAATCAATCTTCTGCTATGCCCTCATATTCAAACAATTAACCAGGAAAATAACAATAGAAAGTCAGTAAATAAGACAGAGGTAAAGAAGAAGCTCAAGATGAAAATTTTTCAGATCTGAGTTTTTTTTTTTTTTTTTTCTTGTTTATCCACGAGTTTCTCAGTGGCTTTTCATTTGTTTATCCACGACCATCTCAGTGGCATTGAATTTGTATGAAATGGGATGAAATGGTTAAAGACACACACCTTCTGGCGTGCGGTACACTCTTTTCTGAGAGCAGAATCTCTTCTGAGATAAAGAAAGATGCAAGATGAAGTTTCAGTTCAAATGAATACAATGAAAAGATGTAAACAAAAAACAAGTATTTTCCTGAAAAACAAACTTCCAGGACACAAAATAAACATACAATCAGCACAGCCAGACACCTGTAAGTAGAAAGAATTTTTTTTTTTAAATAGTTACACGCAAAACTGGCATTTTCCATTTTTCAAAATACAAAGTTCTTGACTTTTTTTTACACTGTGCTAAAAAGAAGACTCTATCATGACATTTTAGTGACGTACTATGCCCGCCCGCTCGCCGTAGGCCTGAATCATTACGTTTTTGGGGCTAAACGTTTAACCGTTAACTTTATACGGGCGGTTTGACTTATCCAAGTTCGACTTAGGCAAGGTCACATGTACAATATGTATTGTATTAGACTAAAATCAAAATATATGTGCATGTTTGCACTATGTGTTTTAAAAACACCCCCCCCCCCCTTTTTTTCTTCATCTTGACTAACTCCCTACATGTTTGATGGATTCTATTCAAATTTTGGCAACACGTACCCAATGGAAGAGTCTACAATTGATGCTTAATATGATGGCTGAGACATATTTCATTTAATTCGACTGTGTGCAGTCTACTGGTATATGCCTCCTTCTTCCCATGTGAACCACAGTATTACCGTAGTCCTCAATTTAATTATTTGACTTGTCAAGCAGAAAATTTCTATGTAAACATAACCTTGATATATAACACCAAAAACTATTCTTCCTTAATTTTGTACCAAGTTTGAAGATCTTGAAAACACAGGTACTATTGCACATTAAAAATGTTGAACAGTGAAAAGTAATATAACCATAAAAAGCATAAACCGTGGTCTAAATCTAAACCACCTTTGTGAATTCCAGCCATGACTAATAGCAGAATACCAAGTAATCAGTTTAGTACAAATCCTTTTGGATAGGATATCAAAGCTACAAGATTAATTGTCACAAAAGTCTAACCACTTTCCCCTATTCTGACAGAGGTATACACAGAATGTACAATACAGGTTTGACAAATAAGGTATTTCAATGTGTATTTTTTTTGGTATTCTTTAGTCTTGCAGGTATGCCATAACATTTGACCTACATAAGTGACCTATGATCTCAACACAACATGGAGGTTTCCAATGAATGACTAATATCCACATTTTGGCCTTAAACAATCCCATGGTTTGAAACTTATTCACCCTATATGCCAACTGGTTTATTTGACCTATTTCTAAGCTTAATTATTTCACCATGTAATCTCATTTTGAAAATTTGCTGCAGGTGCAATCATAATCATAGTATTTGCTTGAACAATTGTTCATTCTGTGCCTTCCTATAGAATCAGCTCAAAACATAAGTAAGATTAAATCAGTGCCACTACATGGCATAACATAATTAATCCTTTTTGAAAAGTCACTACCATGACCATATGCTGCACACTTTCAACATAAATCCCCTAATACTTACTTAAACACCACTACCTCCTTCCAGCAACTCCAACACAGAGCAATCCAACACTCGTTCTACATTGAAAAGAAGAAAAAAAAGAAGGGGAAAAAACTATCAATAAAAGTGATTAATACCTACACTATCACATTGTGGTTTATAATGTTAACTAATTACTCACTATTCACATAACTGTCTTGTTCATGTACATCTCAAACTCATCAAATCTATCATGTTTCATTTCCAATCATTTACATACTCCGAAATCAAATCAGATCGTATACCAATGATGATACCTTTTTCAATCTTAATCTTATTATTCAATTCATTAAAAAAATCTTTTATACTTCTTTTCTATAATCATTGGGATCTTTAATATACAATAGTCTACATTTTTTCTTACTCAAATTAATAATTTTATTTGTAATCCAAGGTTTATTTTTACGCTTATATTTCAAACAAACTTATCTCACAGGAAAACACAAATTATACAGTTTTTGTGAATTTCAAAACAAAGCTATTATAACTACTATTCACATCACTAGATAAATACCATTTAGTTGAATACCTCAAGTGCAAAAACATTCTCATGTTATTTTTGTTTAAATCACGTCTATAAAAAGTCAGTTTCACAGTACTTTTGTGAATATCAATTTCACAAATACAATAAAACCGAGAAGTGGTCAGAAATGTCAGTTAATAATATTCCAAAATAAATATGGCAAGAATGATTTGTAAAATTATTATCTAATAACAATGAAGATCTGTCAGTAACACGAGTTAGTTCATTTATTAAAAGAATCATATAGTGTAGCATTAAAATGGTTACAAAATCATTCCCAACATTTAATAAATCAATATTAAAATCTCCCATTAAATAGAATAATTTCTTTTCCACATTTAAAACATAAAAAAAAAAAACGAGAGACATTAAAAAATCATCCACTGGTTGACTGGGTGGCCTATACATAACACATTAAAATATTTGAATTAAATGTTCAATTTCAATAAAAATACTTTCTAAAAACGATTATTTAATATCCAAATCAGTGCGGCGTTTAAAATTAATGTCCTTGCCAATAAAAATACCAAACACCTCATCCACGTCCAAGTCTTTTAGTATTTCCCACAAATTCATAATGACCGAAATTGCACAGAGAATATTGCGAATTTTTATCCCTTAGCCATGTTTCCAAAACACCAATAATTGAAACTTGCATACATACATCACAAGTACAGACGATGCATCAAAATTATGTTGGAGGCTTCTACAATCAATATTAATAAATGATAATTTGTTACTGACATCATTATCAAGTAATTTCTGTGATACAAACGTATTGAATCCATCTGGTGTATAATGCGACTGAGTGAAGTTATTAGTACTTTGAGGATCTGATGGTGACAAAAATTCTCTCAAAGTTGATACAGATACATGTTTTCTCATTGAGACATTAAACACATCGACATTTGAAGATAATTTTTATCTTCTCCAAAGATCAAAGGAATATAAATTATACACTTAAAAACAAAACTATGTATAAAATGTATACAACTTTAATGGATAAAATGTAAAAGGTCCCCCTCTTTTCTCTCTCATTCCCTATCCCCACCCCTCTCACTCCCCTATCTCTCTCATCTTTCTTTCTATCTTCATCGCTCTTCCTCTCTCTCTCTCTCCCTCACTCCCTCTCTCTCTTCCTTATCTCTCCCTCTCTCCCTTTCTTTTTCTCTCCCTCTCCCTCCACATATTCCCTTCCCTCTCTTTCGTTCTCCGCTCCCTTTTTCTGTTCCTCTCTTTCTTTATCCCCACTCACTCTCTCTCTCTCTTGTCATTTCTCTCCTTCTCAATTTCCTCGTCATCTCTCACTTTGGTCTTGCTACAGTACATGTAGCCAGCCTGGCTTCACTCCTTGAATGTTGTATTTCTTATTTTTCAATCTTAATCTTATTATTCAATTTATTACAAATTTCCTATATACATTATTTCTATAATCATTGGGATGTTTAATATACAACTTATATACAATGTAGTCTACATTTTTTCTTACTCAACTTTATAATTTCATTTGTAATCCAAAGTTTATTTTTACGCTTATATTTCATACAAACTAATTTCACAGGGAAACACAAATTATACAGTTTCATGAATTTAAAAACAAAGCTATTTATAGCTACTATTCACATCACTAGATAAATATCATTTAGTTGAATACAGCAATTGCAAAAATGTTCTCATATTATTTTGATTTACATCATGTTTATAAAAGTCAGTCAGTACTTTTGTGAATATCAGTATCACACATACAAATACCGGGAAGTGGTCAGAAATATCAGTTAATAATATTCCAGAATAAACATGGCAAGAATCATTTGTAAAAATATTCATATAATGTAGCATTAAAGTGGTTACAAAAATCATTAACATTCTCAACATTTAATAAATCAATATTAAAATCGCCAATTAAATAAAATTATTTCTTTTCCATGTTTACAACATTAACGCGAGACATTAAAAAATCATCCACTGGTTGACTTGGTGGCCTATACATAACACATATTAAATATTTCAACTAAAATGTTCAATTTCAATAAATACTTTCTAAAAATGATTCATTAATATTTAAGTCAGTGCGGCGTTTAAAATTAATGTCCTTGCTAATAAAAATACCAACACCTCTTTCTACATCCAAGTCTTTTATTATTTCCCACATACCAGTCATAATGACTGAAATTGCACAGAGAATATTGCGAATTTTCATCCCTTAGCCATGTTTCCAAAACACCAATAATAGAAACTTGCATACGTAATGACATCATAAGTACAGACAATGCAGCAAAATTATGTTGAAATCTTCTACAATTAATATCAATAAATGATAATTTGTTATTGGCATCATTATCAGGTAATTTTTGTGATACAAACGTATTAAATTCATCTGCTGTATAATGTGACTGAGTGAAGTTATTAGTAATTTGGGTCTTGATAGTGACATAAATTCTGTCAAGGTCGATACATATACATGTTTTTCATTGAGACATTGAAAAAATCAGGGAGGTGAGACATACAAATCAAGCATGACACGACATTTGAAGAAGAAAACAATTTAAAAAAATGGATCAAAGGAATATGAATTCTACACTTAATACAAAGTAGTAAAAACGAAACAACTACATGTATGTACAAAATGTATAGAAGAACTTTAATATCGTGGATAAAATGTAAAAGGTCCCTCTCTTCTCTTTTTCTCTCTTTCCGTCTCCCTACCCCTCTCTCTCTCCCCCTCTCTCTTTCTATCTGCATCGCTCTTCTTTTTTTCTCCCCAGGGAGGTGAGACATAAAGTAGAGAAAACTGGATTAGGGTCTTTTGAACCATCCCCGATGCCGCACTCCCCAAGCGACCAATCCACTAAATTGGAATTAATGCTGCCTGGTCGCACTGGTCTTAAAGATAAAGACCAGTTATGGTCATGCGATTGCATTGTGAAAGAAACGTTGTGAAATCGATCAGAAAAGGATGATCATCTAGCATAGATGTACTGCAAGGTTCTGGAATCATCAAAATGACAAAAAATTTGGCCCAGTCTTCATGAAGTTACAAGCACTGTACACAGAAAGATGTATATGGGACTATGCACACGTGCGCGACACATGCGTTTTTATCTCTCACACACCAATAGATAAACTAATTTACCAAATATATCAATTAGTAGGCGGTTTCCCGGCAACATTTTTATCATAATGTATTATTCAAAACATTCTTTCACATGATTGGTAATAAGAGCTTCCATTTCATTTTTTTAAATTGGGGCGTTTCCAATACTGGTCTTTACCTTTAAATAAGATCACATAACACATGCACAAGGTCGGTTGATCAATCCACTAAATTGCATTAATGTAGCCTGGTCGCACCGGTTGTAAATAAGATCACATAATGCATGCGCAAGGTCAGTTGATCAACAGGAGCCGCTTGCATGTGCAATGCATTGTAGGATATGTTTACATCCCATAACATGGCAGCTTTTAAATACTCGTGTGATGATTATTATTTGGAAGATGATATGGATCTTCTTACAGACATATTGAAGGTTTGATACTAGAATCTAAAGAGGAAAGCCCATCTTCTGTATGCATATGTAGCCTTCCTTCTATGGTCGATATCATTTCATGTAATGGACCAAAATGTCCAGTTGAATTCTACCACGAGTGTACTGTTAGTCTTCCGTGCAGTGCAATATAACGAACGATAACAAACAGTGGAGTCATACATCAAAATAAAGAAGAAAATCTAATTTGTTTGCCTAAAAAAATGATTTCCACCTGGGCTAGACAGGGTCTACCACTACTATTACGTTAAAATATAAATATAAATGGAACAAAATAAAGAAAATTTCAACAATAATCATGTTTTAACTCACCTTGTTGTTGTTCTTTGCACCCGAGAGCTAAATTCCTAGACTATCACAACATCTGAGTGTATGTAGCATGTGATGATGCTAACGACATGTATAGAGCTAGCTATATGAACACGCGATCCCTTATGACTGGACTGTTGATGTTCTCACCTAGAGAGAGCCAGTTTAGAGCAGCATCCCGCATGGGACACCAGGGTGACCTCGTCGCGTAAGGTGTCATTTTGTTTTTCCTTGGACCCCTAATCCCGCATAATCCCACTCTGAGTGATAGGAAAAGCCCTAGGGGCAGAGTGCTCACTTATCTATGTCTCACCTCCCTGCTCTCTTTCACTCTTCATTCTCTCTCTCCCTCTCCCTTTGTATCTCCCCTTCCCTCTCTTTCTTTCCTTCTCCGCTCCCTTTTTCTGTCCCTCTCTCCCCACTCGCTCCCTAGACATTTCTCTCCTTCTCGATTTCCTCGTCATCTCTCATTTTGGTCTTGTTACATGTAGCCAGCCTGGCTTTACTCGTTGAATATTGTATTGTAACCAGAATTTTTCTTAAGTGTATATATTTTGGTTCTATTTTGTTTACAGTATTACATTTTATTGTAATTTAATCAATATGAGTTCCTGAACTTTACGTGTTCATGATTTTTAACCAAATAAATAAAAACATAACAAATATGTCTAGTGAATATATTACTGTACCAAAAGTATACAAAATGCAGGACCGAAGGAAATCGTGATCCTTCAATTTCAATGTTTGTGGTCATATGTTGTCAGGTTCGTTCTTGTCATGAACCTGTTTTTCACGCTCTTACCGTGTGATGTCTTCACAGAGACGATGATCCCTCAGTCCATCGACCATGCTGCCTCTATCTCACTGTTCTGTTTCTTGCTTGCGATGAAAGCATCATGTAAGAGAGTACGATTGGCATCAGTCAGATCCTCGCAGCTTATTCCGTTCCTTTTCAGATTAGACGATCAGCCGCTGTCGATGTTGATATGATGTCAGCTTCATGATGATGGCCGCTGGTTTTGGCCGTGATCCTGGATGGGGAGGTGGTTTCCGTCTTCGAACACAGTGACATCGGTCAATATCTTCCGGTTTTAAAGTGATGCACAGTTTCTCTTGCACAATCTTGCAGATCGTTGTAGTTGTGTCTTCTTGAGGAGATTCAGGGACACCAAACACCCGGATGCAGTTTCAGCGAGAATATCGCTCCTGGTCGTTCAGCTACTATTTAGCTTTTGTAGTTTTGTGTGTTATAAATTGCACCCAAAAAAATATATACATGTATAAGTTCAATGTTCAAACCCCATTTTACAGAAAAATGTTATCCCAAATGTTTTTGTGTATATAAATCCCATGTACTTAATGTCATTTAGAGATAATATCTCAATCAATTTTCTGTCCCTAAAATGTTAAAGCCCCTCTAAAGTGTTCAAACCCAAAATATACCCAAATTGATATGGCAAAATTTCACTTAATACAGGGACCATCCCCCTACCCATTCCCCCCCCCCCCCCCCCCCCTCAAAAAAAAATCCATAAGCAACAGGTTAAGTAGATCAACATACTCTATCAGCAAATACTGCAGCTCCAGCTCCAACTCCAACAGTCTGAAAACCTGAAATATAAAAAAGAAATACAATCAACTCTATTTCAGTTCATAACAACATTTACCAAGTATTGTGAATACGAATAATTAATTATCAAAGAAAATAATTAGCCATTATTATATGGTAAAAAATACAACTACAAATTATTGAGTACCCCGTAAATCTCTGTGTATAAGATGCACGGAAGAATTTGAAAGTCGTCGGTGCGTCTTATAGTCAGGTATAGGATATTTTTGGGGGAAAACGAGTATGGTAAAACCGGTAACTCAAAGATTTTTACTTTTTTGAGGCACTTCTTGATATTTTGAAGCGCAATTTTTTTAGGGCTTCAATATTGCACAATGTCACAGACACTGATAACACAGAGGGCCGTGCATCTCAGATTTAACATTGTTAAACGAGAATATCGCTCCTGGTCGTTCAGCTACTATGTAGATTTTGTAGTTTTGTACGTTATAAATTGCACCCCAAAAAATATATACATGTATAAGTTCAATGTTCAAACCCCATTTTACAGAAAAATGTTATCCCAAATGTTTTGTGTATATAAAACCTATGTACTTAATGTCATTTAGAGATAACGTCTCAATCAATTTTCTGTCCCTAAAATGTTAAAGCCCCTCTAAAAAGTGTTCAAACCCAAAATATACCCCGAATTGATATGGCAAAATTTCACTTAATACAGGGTCCATCCCCCCACCCATTACCCCCCCCCCCCCCCCCTCAAAAAAAATCCATAAGCAACAGGTTAAGTAGATCAACATACTCTATCAGCAAATACTGCAGTTCCAGCTCCAACTCCAAGGTAACTCACCACTAACAGTCGGAAAACCTGAAATATAAAAAAGAAATACAATCAACTGTATTTCAGTTCATAACAACATTTACCAATATGTATTATGAATACGAATAATTAATTATCAAAGAAAATAATTAGCCATTATTATATGCCAAAAAATACAACTACAAATTGTTGAGTACCCCGTAAATCTCTGTGTATAAGATGCACGGAAGAATTTGATAGTCGGGGGTGCGTCTTATAGACAGGTACAGGATATTTTGAATCCTCAAAATGCTACTTTATAGTGGTTTACAAAAAACTCTGAGTCTCAACATAAATTATATAATGCGAACAAAGAATAGGATCTACTATTTGAAGTTAACCTACGTTCCGAATTTGAAGGGAAGAGTTTTTTTTTTCTTCTCAATTTATGCCCCTTCACATAGCACTGTGCCGGCCGATGCTCACCCGTGCCCGGAAGAGCGACGGCATGGTCCCAGCTCACTCACACACGGGATATCAACTCACCACTCAGAAACTAGAACCAAAGTAGCGTACTATGTCCGAATTTCTCTTTGGACTCGGAGGAAAATCTGTCTGTCATCTTTAGTTTTTAAAACGACATTGTTACTATTAATTATTTGTGACAAGTTCACAAGTACTCATCGGCGCCTTCAAACTAAAATGAAGGATCTTCCCTGCATGGGTTTCCAAACGCTGAAATAAGACGCAATCTGGCTTGCTGCCTACAGAGTCAGCAAAAGTGCAAACATTGTATCAATAAATAGGGATGCGTCTTATACACAGGTCACAAAACACAACATCAACAAATTTGTATACAACTTGTTAATGTAATATCACTCTGGTATTTTTTCTTTTTCTTTCATTAATTTTAAACTTGACTGAATTTGGTATCATTGCAATCAAACAATTTCACTTATTACATTTGTGTAAGTTCGAGGGAAAATTTAAAAGTTGATTAAACATGACGAAAAATCAACCCACTCAAAACCCCGAAAACATTGTAATTCAGCTGATTTTTCAGTAAAGTCACAAAATGAGCGTTGAACCGCTCAGCTGAAATGATCTACGACGGTGCGCGATGCTGTTTACGTGCAATTAACATGTATTGCATTGACTCTTGAGTACCGTACCTGTTCATACCCAACGTTGTTTACCTTCATCAAAATCCCCTGGAAATATCGATATGGACAAAAATATACTCGACTTGAGTTTTGAGGAGATAAAAAAGGAAGTACCTCGGACATCGACAACGACAATGGAGATTTAGGAGATCTCTAGAATCTAGACTATAGATCAATTTCTTAACTTCCAAATAGCGAGTGGATATAACGTTGATGTAGTGGTCAGTATACCGTAGGCCTGTCTGTGCATTACGCGTATGTTTAGATCCCTTTAAGGGATTGGGTAACTTTGTCTCAGATTCTGAAAAAAAATCCTGGATCTAGCTCATGATAATTATAAACCTTTAGGTCAGTAATGAACCTCATGACTTTTACAAGCCGATAGCCTGTCTGATTATCAAGATATTTATGATTGGAAATCGAAACCAAAAACGGTTTTCATAACACTTCAGTCTATTAGGGAAAACGAGTATGGTAAAACCGGTCACTCAAAGATTTTTAATTTTTTGAGGCACTTCTTGATCATTTTGAAGTAGGCGCAATGTTTTTAGGGCTTCAATATTACACCATATCACAGACACTGATAACACGTAGGGCCGTGCATCTCAGATTTAACATGTTTAAACGATGCCTTTAATGTTTAGCTTTCATACATGTATGTGTAAGTGATATTATTGAATGACACACTGTAGTTTATAGCAAAGAACAAAGCAAGCTGACACTAGACTTACAATTTGATTTTTTAAATTATTCTTTTTAATATCAGTAAGTTAAAAAAAATGTATTTTACTGCTATTTAGGTGTCATCAATTGTCACTAAAGTACCGATTTTGAGTGAAATCAGTTGAGTTTTGTGCAGTGGTGTTTGAAATGTTGAGGTTCAAGAGCACAGCTTTTACTACACAGCCAGGATAGTGATGCTCCTATGTGTGGGCCTATGTGCATTATTATTCACTCTCTAATTACTTCTTCCAAATTATATTTTCAATATCAAATCAATTATATAACGAGTATTTATGAGACTCTAGAATAAAAACTGGCTGAGAAAAGGCATTTTGCCTAAAATTCCTCGTCACAATAAACAAAAAAGTACGTATTGATAAACTATCACATTACGGTATCCTTCAACTAACTTTTGATTCGACTGTCGAAAAAAAACACTCGCCGGTTTTTCTTCAATTTAAGAATCTTTACAGAAATATGCAAATCGGTTGATGATCTACATTTGATAATGACACTATTTATTATTTATTTTAGGAGAATTTATATGTATATATTTCTTTTTGAACAATTTTAGCCCCAAAACTTGTTTTGCGTTATTCTTGATAAATCAAATGGATCGTGACAAAGACTATCTTCTTGAGCTGCTAGTATCGTGATATATCGATATCATGTCTGTCATGGCTTTGTGAAACGGTTTATCCACTTCATGACATCTCCGTAGGTCGGCGACAAAGATATGACTGTCATGGAGTTGGTTTCGAGAAACGGCCCCCTAGACTCTAGGTATAATAATACCCGCCTCACAGCAAGCATGCAGTGCTAGAGGTCAATACGCATTAGCATTGACTCTATGCTTAGCTGGAGTGCCCGCAACCCACCGTCGGTATGTACGGTATGCAATTGTATTGTGCAGTGCTCAATTTGCTGTGAATCCCGTGAGCAAGAAATCTCTACGCCGGAGTTACGGGGTCAAAGTAGGGATATGATTCTGAATAAGCATGATAAGCGCTAGACAGCAATAACCATCTGATTTGGGTCATTTCTTTAATAAAACTGACATTTGTTGTCATTCCCCAATACAGATGGCAACCCAGAGATCTCGTACCGTGGGGATGGCTATGTACATATTTTCGTCCACGACATTTTCTCCCCGATTTTCTTTATTTAGATCTAATTTTCTGATTTCTAAATCAGATGTAAATTAGGTCGGTATGTCATTTGTCCTAATTACAGTTATCAAAATTTGATAACTTAATATTAAATACGTAATTTACGGACTTACTTATATGAATTATCCAATTTGTATCTCAGATCCGCGAAGCAGTACGTTCATGCATTCGAAATATTACCCGGCGGCCGACATATTTCCGGGTCCACCTACCAAAACATAGCTAAATGGCCAATCAGATTCAGAGTACTCGTTTCGTGGGAGTTCGTTGGTCAAGCTGGGCCGACTCGTAGCGTAGCTACGGTAGCTATTGGACGTTCGAAAAGAAAAAATGAATATTCATCAACTAAAACCAAGACGGATAATGTTGACGACGAGACTTTCTCGGATTAATCATTAATTTAGGATCTAAATGAGCAAGCTATCGTAAGTCAAATAAGCTATATAGTCTATATGTTATTTTTAATTTGTGTTGTAATTGCAGCAGTTATGAGGATGTAAAGAGTGAAAATCTCGTTGTATATCTCATTCATCGCGGTCCAGTCGAACCGAACTATTCGTTACGTACAGTGCCTCACAGAAAGAGGTCCCCAGACTTCAGTCTCTATAATCGGAGGTCTAGTGGAGCCAGACGTAGTCTCAGTGGAACAACCGACGATTAGAGAGACTGAAGCTTTCGGTCTAGATAAGCGCTAGACCGAATTTTCCGTCTCTTTCGTTCGTTAGCCTCTTATTGGGGTAGGGTCGGCTCTCTCTTTAGAGACGGAAGCCGTTTATACACATGTCCTTGCTAACGCCACGGCCAGTTCTGGTCGTAGCGTTTTACCCCCAAAATCCCCAAAATGTCATTTTACCTCGAGCATGTTATATTGTAAATTAGGCCTAGGCTATAATAAATCAGTTCCACTTACCAACTTGACTGAAATAATCAGTTTAATAGTCCCTTTTTAGGAAATTATGGGTCAAAATCGAAATCCATTTTGAAAATCTTTTTCAACATGGATTCCGATTTTGACCCATAATTTCCTAAAAAGGGACTATTAAACTGATTATTTCAGTCAAG